GGTGCCTAGCGACCGTGCCCAGACTCCTGTATATGCCCAAGTGTCAAGCGCTTGTTCCTATACCTACACACACCCGTACACGCCAATAAAGACAAATAATGGGAAAGAACACGAGTACGTCAATCAGATAAAGACTGCGGACTACGAAAATACGTATATGCCTCTCACTAATCTTAAGATGTCAACAGAAGATTCTCGTGCATATGAATCGCTTTTGCCGTCTAAAGAAGAAGAGAACAACCTTTAGGGCGCCGGTGAATACACTTTTCTATGTTTTTATAAGAACCTTTTTCATCAGGAAGTTCAGCCTGAGATTGACCAAAATTTCAAGAACATACTAAGAATACACCCAGACTGAGAGTCAGTAAAGAACGGCTTTATTTTGCTAAATTTTTTTCGGTCGGAATATACAAATATATACATGCCTCTCACCGATGCCTGCAATACTAACATGTCAGCTGACAATTCGCGCGCTATGCATCGTTTTTGAAGTCTGAAAAAGATGACGATGGCAGTAAATACGTTAATCAAATGCAGGCTTTGAGGCCGGGTTTCCCGAGAAATGATGAAATTTAATCAGCATTAGTGTGACTCTTTTCGTTTTACAGCCTCTCTGATGGTTTATTTTTTTTCTTTCTGTGATTTTCTTTTGCTTAGGGTGGTACGATTTGTAAAGAAATCCATAAATAACACTTATTGCCTTTCGAAAAACCTATCGACATCACAGATTGCACTCTCAGTGGAACATTATTCGCGAGCTAATTAGCAGATTCTGTGGGGGTAATCTAGTGTTCCACCCAGTTTTTCCTCAGCCTTTTTGCGGCTTCTCTGAGAAACGAGCGTAAAACATGGAACGGGTAACTGGTGACGAGGATAAAGCATGTGGGACCTTGAACACTCAGCACACAACCAGTGATTTCAGCCGAGAGACGTCTAAGATTTACTGTCACTGTTGCTTTTTAGTCAGTCTTTATACGCCTTTTGAAGACAGAAGAGTAACAAATTTGTTAATTTCAAGTTTTTCGGAAAATTAATCATTTTCATGGGTTGTAACAATAACTCTTTCTTCACGGTTGATTGAGAAGCATTATTGTGTGAAATTTAAGTTTATTTCCTTTGTTTGGAAATCGAAACGAGTCACAAAAATGATTTCTTTTTGAAGTAGCTAACATTGTAGCAAACAGTGAATAATTTTTTACTAATCAGAATACATCCCCGAATTGAAATGCCTGGCCCTCTGTTTAATATTCAAGGAACAAAAAAGTATGACACATTGCACAGAAATTAGTGACTTCTCGCTTATATTTCAGATTTATGGCGAATTAAGCACCACTTTCAAGGGAATTCGGAGTGATTAAATGATGCCTGATGTTCCAAGTCTTCTGCTCTCTAGGGATGGAACTCCAGTGTACTGTCTGAAGATGATCACCAAAAATTTCACATCTAAACGTTAGAGCCTACGTTAGTAATGAGTCTAGCGCCTCTTTGTAGTCACCGACAATGTGCTGAGCTTCAGCAAGGCAGTGTTGCGTGAGGTCTAGGGGTAGATGCAAACCATTTACAATGTATAATAAATAAATGATCATTTTGAACCAGTTTGAAGGTGCTTCTCTGCAATTTCATAAGGTAACTATGGAGTATTAACAGTAAAAACCTGGTTTCATAACTGCACGGTTAAAGTCCTGACCCCGTATTTAGATGTCGCAGTAAAGATTGAGTTAAAATGTTCCGAGCACATAGCATCAATTTCAAGATCTGGTAATAAAATCTGGGCTTGGTCATGTAGAGTATTCTAAATTACCCGAAAAGAAAATGTGTTGGCCATTGTATGATCCAAATTAAAATAACCTTGCACCTCTTGGGACCTGCACTACAAGAAAATATCGAACAAGTCCAGAGAACCGAGAACCGTACTCTGCGTACTTTGCGTGACATCTCAAAGAACGACTGCGAAGAACGCTGACTGACGACCAGTAGGAGAGGTTCACAGTCCTCGGTTTCAGTGACGCAGAATTTCTTAAGTTGCCGCTCGCTTTTAAGCTAGCACACTGCTGGAGACCTTGCTTCCTTGTGCCAAGTCGCTCGGAAACCGGGTTATGACTCATCACCTTTCAGTGTCTTTCCCACATCTCTCCCCCTTATCAACAAGGCCGCGCGGATATCGATCGAGTAAAGCTTATAGACCACAGACCGGAAGGGTTTATGAGTTTCTGCTTATGTTGGCACCAAGGACTCTCGACGTGTCCTTTTCTCTGTTCTCTGCTACCATTCTACTCACAAAAAAATTACTTCTCTTCTCTTCTCTTAGCCACTATGCATGGCTGAGACTACTGATCGGTTCGTACTTGCCCCTTGTAACTCTGGTAGACTCTAATTAAATCTGATCAATTGACTACGACCTCCCTAGCACATGCTTCTATATTTATTAACGCTATGCATGACAGAACATTCTGGCCAACTGACTTTAAAAGATTAAAACTTATTGTCAAAACAATATCCCAAACACTTTCACAAGAATGTAACAAATTGATATTGAAATGTGTTGAATCATAATTACAAAAACAACAATGGTCGTAATTTTCAATTTACAAAATTCTCATTTACTGACTTTGTCCTTACCGACAGAAGAAGTCTTTCAGGTAAACGGCCAAAATCGGCTTGGGGCAAATCTTCCAGTTGTCGATTTTCATTCTTAGCCGAGAGAAATGCTAACACCAAAGTATGACATACGTAACTTTCGGTTTTTCTTTTAGTATATTGATTTTCTTTCCCTTCTAGGAAAGTTTGAACCTCACTGTCTGCCGGCGAAACGGATTTTTTAGTCTGCCGTAATTCGAGAAAGCTCCGACAAACAACTTGTATTGAGAATCGTTAACGCTTTGCCATTCATTCATCAACCTGACCGAGTGGCGCAAAAGTGAGTGAAGTGTCAGCAGCTGATTGGCTATATCAACACACGTGAAAAAATACGATGTTTTTTCACGCGTGTTGTTACGGCTTTTCTCTGGGCCAGAAATCCCTGAAATCCCCGCAGTTTATGTGATAAATAACGTTATACAGGCATCCTTCTAAATTTCCTAATAATGGATAAAGAAGTTGTCGAACTCTTTAGCAATGCAGTTAATTTAGCTTTTAAAGTCAAAGGCTTGCCTCACTTCACTCCCAAACAATGTAACTTATCATAAGCTGACGAAATACCGCAATCCTCCAATGCTGGACAATTAAGAAAAGGCAAAATTTAAAGTTAATAATCATCAGGATGTTTTTAGGAGAACACGAGAAGGCTTGGTAAATCACAAGGTTTTCTAATTAGTGGTTTTATCTTAGTACTGTAGGATCTTAGAAAGCGGTTCGGGTTTTTGTTCTGAACCCCGTGACATTGGCCGTGCCTCGATGACGTCGCCAACAGACTTGCACCTCACTCTCAGCAACAAATGTCTTAATTTAGTCAAGTTAGAGTACATTCCACTAAAGTTTCTTTACTTTATACCTAAAAACGTATTGTTGAGGGCCCTTGATATATTTTAATCGCGATTAAATATTTTCCTTTGACTGCAATTGATTTCTTTGCTTCTGCTTTTATCGGAGGTTTCACTGAGGCCTCGACGAAATGAACAGTTAGTATGAAGAATGTTTCCATTTGGGAAAATGTTTATATACAAGTTTAAATTACGGATAGTATGCGGGAAAACAGGCATTGAACGATAAAACGTGTCTTGAAAACCCATAACTATGTTAACGATATCCCAACAGCACGTTCCAAGGGTCCTTCGAGATCTTTAAGATTTGTAGTGTTAAGGGGGTCAGAACGATGAATTCGTATGTTTGCCAGCGAAAGGATTAACAATGACGTGAATTTATAGAACATTAAATAATCATAGCAGAATACAAAGTAAATGGGATTAAAATTGGCAGAAATTCTACGAACTAAGCAGCGGGATGGATCCGGAGGGAATTCAGGAAATTATCTCCTAAGGAAATATTGATTCTCTGGATGATCCATATGGAACTTAATCAAGAAACTGTGGCCGGAAATCCTTAATTGCGTAGAGGGGTTGGGCAGAGCGGAAGCTGAATTTTTATTTTAGGCATTGTTAAGCACCTAGTTTAGAGTTTTTTCAGAGCGACTAGGAATGATCAGCCTAACGATGTCTCAAATTCATCTCGTCATTGGAAGTTTCATTTTGCTATGTTTTGAACAAGTCATTTCTCAAGGTAACCATCCTCAGAGACCTTGGAGAAAATGGTCGGGAAGAGGAAAATAAAGGACGATTTCGGTTCGACCCGAATTCCCATCAAGTCAACTTTCCTTTTACCAGAATATTTGCACCTGAGTCTCCTGGATTATGATCAAATGATAAGTAAACTGTATCACATACTGGTATTAATCAAAAGGCATTGACGAACACTTTAAGCGTCTAAATATATATGTATGCTGCCTTGATGTTTACATGGCTCCGAAAGTGGCGGTACAAAAACGGAAAAATTGGAATGAAATGAATTTAGCACCTCTGATGAATAGCTACATGCACTGTTAAGCAGCAGATTAGCATGTCATTCCTACTCGTTCCGTAGGAATTGTCACATATGAGATGCTCCACGGTAACTCACTGGACGGGAGATACAACACTTCACTGATTCAAGCTATGATAGTTTGACTACAGGCTTCATTCTATCTTCTGGGTTAGGAATGCTTATGGATGGACTATTGGCCAATGAAGATCTTACTGTAAATAATGGACTGGGTTGGATTGGCTAGAATGTCATGGAAACCCCTAAAACTTAAATAAAATTCCACTTCTTAAGCGAAAGGATTTTTAATTCAA